CTGTGTAACGAATTAGACCTGCAAGTATGCTGTTCCCTGCACTCACAAGAAGCCAGTGTGTGTCTGCTAGATTACAACTACTATTGCTCTGAGTCACCATTCGACAGGTGTGCTGAACAGTTCCTTTTCTTTCTAATTTCACCACCTATGGATTAATTTCAAACCAATATAATTTAGGTTTGTCTGTTGAGCTTTGTGTGTGTGTGTGTGTATATATATATGCATTGCCATATGTGTGCTTTTGTGCTTTTCCCTTAGAACTTACAGTATGTTTGGAACTTTCATCTATGTTGATATGTAGAATTGTAGTTTTGTATTATATGAATATAGAAGCCCAGATGGTGTTGGACTGCTAACCTCAAGGTCATTGTTCAAACCCATCAACCACTCCTACAGGAGAAGGATGTCCCATAAAGATTGACAGCCTCCGAAATCCTCTGTGAGCCGGAATTGACTTGACAATAGCGGTGGTTTGGGTTGTTTACTTTATTTGAATATACCACAATTTGTCTCCCTTCTGTTGATGAACACGTAGATTATTTCTAGTTTGCGGCTATTTATGAGCAATGCTGCTAGGAACATCGTGTTTCTGTGTCCTGATCCACACGTACAAGAGTTTCTTTAGGCTGTATGTTTGGAATGGAATTGCTATGTATACATAAATACTTACACCTTCTGTTTTAGCAGATATCACGCTATTTTTCAAAGTGGTTGTACCAATTTATTTTCCTACTAGTAGTGTAAGAGTGTTCTTACCAGTTTTGTCAGATCATAAATGTACCAATTCATTGGGCCCCCAAATGTTAGTTCCAACAAATTAACCGAAACACCAAAAGCATAGCTCTTACAAAAGGTCTCGGAGTGGTGGGTGGTGGGAGAGATTGGTCTCAGTTTTAAAGATCACAGATATTTAGAGCATTTTCATTTGTTAGAGTTGGTTGGTATATGCTCTAGAGTAGTTACTTACAGAGTCTTATAAGCATTTATCTTTCTGACCTTAAGAGGGGCTAAGACTTTTGTCTTTTCACCACTGCTGCTCATACTTGCACAGTTGGTGCTCAGCAAATATTTGCTGAATGAATTCAAACTGCTTCCTGCTATTCTTAACTGAACTACTTGGGGTTTTCGTAGGCTTTATTTTAGAATATTTGATTAAGACTGTCCTTTTTAGCCTTAGTAATTTAGCAATTTTTGGGGGTCGGGGGTGTGTGTGTGTGTGTGTGTGTGTGGTAAGGGCACACCAAATAACTGATAATAGCCAGACTTGGTGTACCAAAATCTATTATAGCATAAGCAAAACTTATTTTTACTGATATACCAGTTAAAGGGGAAGCTTCTATTTTTAAAGAATCAATTGCCCATGATTTATGCAGTACTTCGTTTTCCCATAAAGAGAAGATAGTGCCAGAGTTTTCTGCCCAGGTTAGACTGCTAGAAGCCATGCAGCCACCCCTCTAACCATATTTCTGTTTTGAATCACTTTACAGGAAATAAGATTATTACAATAGCGATGTTGCTTAGCCAACAGGGACTTCCCTCCCTGCCTTGTATAATCAGAATTAGCCCTGTCCTCAGTGATAAAAACAGCGACCTTAGTGGTAGCAGTCACTTATTAAAATGATAGGACACATGGCTTTAGCTGTCTTGTATTGGAAAAGAATACTTTGCGTAAAGGTAAATTCAAAGAAATAATCCCCCCCCCGCCCCCCCCAAAATTTTTTTTCCACATTCTGTGAGGTAGTTGACAAAAGTGATCCTCTCAGCTTGTAAATGTTGACATGGGCC